TTCTCTCTGCCTCAGTTTCTCTCCTGCTCCCCACCTCACCGTGTCTCTTTTCCCACCTCCAATAAATCTTCCATATCCCCCCCAAAAGAATTTCCTATGTTTCCTACTGATGTCTGTTCACTATTTATTTATTTACCTGTGATTGTGTGTTTGTGTGTGTGTAGCTGTTGATCCAAGCCAGGGCCTTACACATGCCAGGTAAGCACTCCACCACTGTACCACACCTGAAGCCCTACGCTGCATTATTTGTAACGGTAAAAGCCATGGGGCTGGAGAGATGACTCAGCAGGAGTGATTGCTGAGCTCTGATCTAGAGTTAGGATTCCAGCACCTCAAGTAGCTCTCAAAAGCCTGTAACTCCAGTTCCAGGGGATCCAGTGCCACTGGCCTCCATTGGCAACAGCACATTCTCCCACACTGATGCATGCACATAATTAAAATTTAATCGTCTGTTTCTCTGTATAGTCCTGGAACTCTGCTCTGTAGACCGGGTTGGCCTCAAACTCGGAGGTCCACCTGCCTCTGCCTCCTGAGTGCTGGGACCAAAGGTATGTGCCACCAAGCCTACCTTAAAATCTTAAAAATAAACAAACAAACAAACAGAACCCCCATGCCTTTAAATCTAAGCATTCTGCAGGCAAAAGCAGGAGGATTTCTGTGAGTTCAAAGCCAGCCAGGTCTTCATGGTGAACTCCAGTCAGAGTTACACAGAGAGACTGTCTCCAAAAAACAAACCAGAAACTTTAGGGCTGAAGAGACCCTCAGTGGTTAAGGGCACTTATTGCTCTTCTAGAGGACCCAAGTTTGGTCTCAGCACCCAGATCAGGCAGTTCACAAACACCTGTAAGCCCAGCTCCAAGGGGACCACAGCCCCCCTTTTAGCTTCCACAGGTACCCACATATATGAAATAAGATGAATTTTAAAAATTGATCCAGGTGGGCATGGTGGCACACACCTGTATCCCAGCACTCTGGGAGGCAGAGGCAGGCGAATTTCTGAGAATTTGAGACCAGCCTGGTCTACAAAGTGAGTCCAGGACAGTCAGGGCTATACAGGGAAACCCTGTCTTGAAAAACCGAACCCTCCCTCCCTCCTCCCCCCAAAACTGATCCTTTAAAAAAGTGAACTAAATCCTTCTCCATCCTCTCTCTCTCCACTATATTCATTTGTTCATTATTCTTCCCAGCTTGGTAGGGGCTGCCTTCTAGGAACTTCTGCGAGGCAGCAGGCTTTGGAATAAGGTGACAGCAGGCACCAGCATTGATCCGCCTCTGTAAAATGAGGCCATAAGCCTCATCGATTACAAGTCACCTACAAGCAGGCGTTTCCAAGCAGGCGTCAGCTCTTGTTATGAATCCAGAGGATCAAAGTTTGACAACATGGAAGAAGACTGCATTCTTTAAGATGGTCTCTAAATCACCGCCATATCTCATTAGACTGCTTCCTCCTTGTTTACAAACTGAACAAATAGAATATCCCAGGTGATATTCGATTGACCATTTTGAAACTTACTAGAAAGATGCTTCCTATCAGGGACAGTACTCCAAATATGCCAGGCATTGTACAAAGCTCCTTACAGGGCTTGTTTGCTCGACTTCAGAGCCTCCCACGAGGAAGTAGCAACAGCATCTCTATTTCCATAAACTGGGTGAGCGGACAGAAGTGAGGGGACAGAGAGGTGTGTGAGGGGGCAGAGAAGTGAGTAAGGCAACAAGGGTCAGAGCGAGACCATGCTCATGACTCTTGTCATTCGCCTCCCAAAGGGCTGCCATTGTTTGTTCAGACCACGAAACTGTATTACAACACTGATGTGAACCCACAGGATCAAGTATAACAAAAGCAAAGATGCCTGGGAAAACAGCTCTGTCCACATCGCAATGTTTAGCTTTGGTACCAGGGGAACGCAGAATCTCGAAGGAGCCAATGCAGGAAGAGAGGAAAAATAGATGACACAAGATAGAAGGGGAGTGAGGACATTTTAGAAACTTCAAACAAGCAGGAACTCACAAAGACGCTCTGTATGGAGAGGTAGAGCCCAGGAACTTAGCAGCAGTCTAGCAAACATTTGCCAAGCCAAAGGAGCAGGAACGGCCCACCTAAAGCTGGTGCTGTCATCCCAAGGACTGGAAATGGAATCAGCATAGATGTCTATCACCAGAACAGGTAATTAGAACATAATACATAATACATAACATAGGATCTCATCCAGCCATGAAGAAAAATGAAAATTATTAAATGACGTGTCCTCTGCTCAGAAGACAAATGTAGCTTGTTCTCTGCTACTCGCGGACTGTAGCCTCTACCTGCTGAAATGTGTAAATCGAGGTGGGCATAAATAGGAGTAAAGGTCAGGAATCTAGAAAGGGGTCCATGGGAGAGGGGTAGGGATGACAACAGAACAGGATGGAAGGAGGAATGAAAAATAAGCGATTTGGGGAACAATCAACCAAAATCCCAGCACTCGGGAGGCAGGGGTAGGTGGATCTCTGTGAGCTTGAGGTTAGCCTAGTCTATGGAATGAGTTCAGAACTGCTAGGGCTACACAGAGAAACCCTGTCTAGAAAACAAACAAACAAAAAAAGAAATCTGTTCTTTTGTATACTAACTTAAAAAAATTACACACATACACCAGTAACAAAAACCAACAGCATTAAAGCAATGATTTGAATGGAAATCCCAAAGATGTCAAGACAAACATTCCTACAAGCAGGAGTTCCTCTGGGGAACTCAGTCAGACAGAAAGGTGTAAAATAGGAAAGCCTCTCTCTGTACTATACCCTCCCCTCTGTCCTTTCAGGTTTCCTGAGTTATGTGTCCTATGAGTTTTAGATCTTGTAGAAAGCAGGAGGGGGGGCTTGAAGGAGGTGTGAGACTGGGGTGTTACAGGGTCATAAAAAGCCAGCACAAGCCAGAGAGAGACACATAGGCCAGCACAAGCCCAGTGCTGTGAACCACAGATCATAAAGTACCTCCTGTAGCTGGCTTCTTTAACCCTGGGCTCCCACATCCCCATCAGAGAGAGGCAGCCATTCTACTCTTCTGCCTAGCCTATCAACGTCACAATTTATGTTTTGACACCAAGGTAGCAAAATTATTCCATTTATTCTGTGGACTTTCATTAAGTAAATAGACATGATTTATGTTAATTTATACATGATGGGATTTAAGGCTGTGAGAGGCTTCAGGGAAACTCCCACTATTTCTGAAGCTCTTCAGGGCAGGGGCAGATTTCCTGCACACTTCCTCAGTGGGCCTGAACAGACACTGGCCAGACAGAAAGTAGCCTCTTGGAGATGGACGATCTGGAAAGACAAGCAGAATGGATGAATGAGTGAATGTTTTCTCTAAGCACAGTGGTGTCCTCTTTCCTTCTACACTCCATCATTCTCCAGCTGCATCTCAGAACTGTTCACACCCACACCCTACCCTCTGGGTGAGTCTCCCAGGGTCTGTCCATAGATGAACTTGAAGACAGTCCATACATGATGGCTGTGCCAGTAAGCGCAGGGAGCTGGCACATTCAGCCTCTGCAGAAAGCGCTTCCCTAGAGCACAGCCTCCCCTGACCCTCCTCACCATGGTCAGAATGAAGACCGTGGCTTGTCGCCTGGACCTTGACTTCTCAGGGCAGGTTTGTTTCTTATTACCTGTAACACCCGTCTCCCAGCTCCTTCCAGCCCTCCCTCCTGCTCTGTATGAGATCTGAAAACTCATAGTTGCGTGCTTGTGTCAGACTGCCCTTCACTCTGTCCAAATCCAGTTCCCTAAAACTCACACCTTCCCCTTTTCTTGGCTTAGTTCTTTATTTTTCTAGAGTATATGACACTGTTAAATAACTTCCTCACAGAGGTGGGGGTGGCAACCCTTTGGCTGTCTGAAAATACCTCGGCAGATTTGGCCAGGGGTAAACAAGGATGAAAGTTATTTTCCCCTCACACACTTGGGGACATTCCTCTAGCATCTAAAAGCTCCTTATTGCTGATAAGACAGGCATTTGTTCTCTTTTCATTCCGTGCCCTGGGTGCAGCAGACAGGCAGGCCACCGCTCAGTCTCCCACAGGCAGGCTGTTTTGCTGAGGATTTTCCTGCTTGACATTTTTGAGATCTGAACTGAATGTGTTACTGTGGTGAATGTACCTGGAGCCCTGTTAAATAGGGCCCAAAAACTCCAGAACTGGTTCCGTTTCCTTCTCTCCTCTGCTTTCTGGATGATGACCCAGCTTAAATCTCTGAGAGTGTATGGGTGCGCTTTTCTGGGGACTGAATGTGGTTCCCACACAGGCTGAGTACCTATTTCACCGTCATTTATACCTAGCCCAACTCTTGCCTCCTTTCTTTCTTTTTGAAGCAGGGTTTCTGTGTGCAGCCCTGGCTGTCCTGTCCGTATCTTTCCTGACTACCTCTTCTCAACGAAACCTGAAGAGAAATCACTAGAATTTGAGTATTTGTAGACTTAGTTTGACCGCTAGAATTCATGAATAAGCTACAAAGTGAAAAACAGAAAGACAGACAAACTTACTACAGGGTAGGAGAGATAGTTCAACCGGTAAAGGAATTTGCTGCCAAACCTGAAAACCCAAGAATACTGACTCCTCTGACCTCAACATACACCATGCACACATCCCTTCCTGATCCTATGACATAAACAAATCAGTAAGTGTAGTTAAAAAGAAAAAACCAGAACAAGAAAACTCTTGCCCAGTCACAGCTCACCTGTTCAAAACAACCCGTTCACCTGTTCGGTTTTAGGGTCCAAATCAATATCATAAAAACAGGGCCGGGTAGGGAGTCCAGGCATGGTGCTCATCTAAAAGAAAACAGCATACAAGTCAACTCAACAGACCAGTGATGGCTCAGTGGGGAAAGGTGTTTGCTGCCCAGACTCACAGTCTAAGTTTGATTCCCGGGACCCACAGAGTAGAAGGCAAGAATCAACGGGGTCGCCTTCCGACCTCTACACATTCCCCAAGGCCCACAGAACCAGACACACCTTCTGAGTTATCACCAGGGGGTGGGGAGGGGGGTGCTCTTCTTTTTACACATTAAAAACCCAGTCACCGAGCTTGACGGCTTGAAGTCAACAAGAAACCCTCATGCCCCTCTTCAAGCCAAAGGCCTGGCCTCAGTCCACCCTTGCAAAGGACAGTTGTAGCTGAGGTTGCGGGGGAAGCGTGGACCCACCCCAGTGCCAGAGAAGCTGAAGAGTCCATCCTTCATTGCCTCAGCTGTGCTTTGGTCGGGGGAGATACCCTATAAGCCCAGTATTGGGGAGGCCAAGGCAGAGCTGTTGAGAGTTTGAGACAAGCCTGAGGTACAGTGAGTTCAACACAAACCAGGGCTACCTAGGAAAAGCAGCTCTCAAAAGCTAAACAAAGCAACCAGGAAGAGGCCTAGCCCTCGTGTCTGCTTTGAACTGTTCTTCTGGTGAGGCTCACATAGGAGCCCATGCGATTTCTGGTGCCGGGACCTGACGTTATGATGCTCCACATCCTTTAACCTGGGTGTTGGGGGTTGGTCTGATGCTTGTATTTTGATGCTAATTACTGGCCCTCAAGATCTGGTTACTGACTGGACACACCTATCCTTGTTGTAGAAACCTGACTATGACTTTATACCTGATTGGTTGGTTAAAAGACCTAAAACCTGGGCAGGGCAGAATGGGGTAGGTGTGGCTAAGGTTCTGGGGCTTTGGGAAGAGAAGGATTGTGGGAAAAACACAGACAGATGGGAAGGACACCAGGATGGGTTACAGTGGCGAAGGAACCACGTGTGCTGGGAGGAAGGACTCCAGCAATGGCATGGGAAGGCCCAGATGAAGAATACAAGCAAGTATTTATAAGTTTATGGATGGAAGATAGGATGGTTAAGGCTGGTTAAAGAAGAATGCATTGGATGGGGCTGGGAGGTGGATAGTGAGGTTATAGAAATCACATAGATGGAATTACCTGCCCATTCCATGGTATTTGAAGGCAATTATAAAAATCTAACAGGTATCTGTATCTTATTGTGACAGTGGATTAAATCATACTGCTGCCGTAATTATAGGGCTAATAATAAATAATTTATAGCCCAACACTCACTTTTTAACTTACTCCAACAGTTGGGCCAAGGCATTTCTTCTGTATACAGACTGGACGGTTTTACTGTCTCCATTCTTACTGCTTTCAGGCTTTCTAAAGCTACACTTCAAGCTTCTGTGCTATATTTGTGCTTGCTTCTTTTCTGAAGACTTGGCTCCGCTTATTCACATGGCTTGTTACTGAAAATGTGGTATTTTTTTTCTCTGTCATACTGCCCATATAATGAATACACACACATGATCCTGACCAAACCCAGAAAGGAAGACAGCTTAGACTGAAGTTCTAAAACTTCACTATAAAAATGTTACAAAATAGACGAGCCATTTTCTGTAACACAAAACATCAGTATTTGAGGAAAACCTAATCCTGATGTCTGAGGGCCAATCAGCACTCTCCAAGGCACGGTACGTGGATCTGAGAGCTGGCCTCTGTTAAAGCATCCTGTAAGGAGCAGGAAAGGGTTGGGTGTAGGGACAAACAGGGGAAAGGAGAGAACTGGTGTTCAAACCCAGAATAGCCCAGCAGACGGCATTAGGAAGGCAAGGGATGGACACCACTGACCCAGATACGCATGTGTGCTGGCTTAAAAAGAAAAAGAAAAAGAAAAATAATCTAGAGATGGTTCTCAGAGCAGCAGTGAGTAGGATTTTCAGTGCTTTTATTCTTTCTCAAAGAGGAAGATCTGCCCCTGTAAACACTGGTCACCGATACGCAGAAAAAAAAACCAACAAGCGATGGCATATACACTTACCTGCAAACCTAGATATAAAACTCTGAAAAGCCACTCTAAAGCCGCACACACGTATGCACGCACTCGGGCGCTCAGGAAGACCCCAGGAAGTATCAGAATACAATTACTAAGAATGATTAAGGTGACTTCCTTGAAAAACCTGCCTACTCTGAGATGGGCGTTCTGACAGCCAAAGTTTTAATTACTGTGCCCTCGAGACCCACGAAACAAAAATGCCCCTAACCTGTGAACCCTTCTTTGCCCAAAGACAGAAACTTCCTGAGACGCTGCAGGCTGTTGTTTACGGGAAATAACAACCCTAAACAAGTTTGATCCAACTGCACCAGATGTGCTCCATGAGGGCAAGGAAAACATCAGGGCATGCTTGGCCCTGATGGGAAAAACGGTGGCCTTATGGAGTTGCCCTTTAAAAACAAAAAACAAAAAACGATCTGACTTGATTTTACACTGGGTGGGGCACAAAGCAATCCTCTTTAATAAAGCTGACAGCTTCACTTAGAATAATGTACATTAAAAAAAAAAAAAGTATTCACCTTACAAATTGTTCTGCAATCCAACAGCTCAGAAAACAACGTTTTGAAGACAAAAGCCAATGTAAAAAGACAGATTAAAACTACTACAACAGTACAGGTTTGATATGGCTCAGACTTTAGAGCTGTCTTACCGAATCTTACTGCTCCTTCTACTGTCTTACTGCTCCTTCGGCTGGCTCCGTTGCTCCATGTTTAAAGCAACACCTCTTCTCCCTGGCTCCCTTTCACCTTCTGAGTCCAGCCAATATTCTCTAATATCAGAACTTTTCCAGTGAAGCCCCAAACACTGACGTGTCTCAGCTTCCCAACACGAAACCTGTCGTCACCTCGGCTGCGGCTGCTCTGCGTGGAAGATGCTGGTGCTCTCTAAGCCTCACCAGGCTTCTGCTTTCTCACAGGTTTATCTAGAGCAACCTCCCTTTTCCTAACTTTGTTTCAACTTCGCTGTCAGAATTACTGCCTGAAGAGCTTGGAGAAGCAAGTTTCTTTGATTTATGCATTGCTCTGTCCAACCTTGGGGTCACCTTTTGAAGCCTCTGCAAACTGTCAGCACTTATTTTTGGGAACCCAGGACTCGACCTGGCCAGAGTCTATGATACTGGCCAGTATTAAATTAAAGCTTGCTTCAAATCTGGCTCAAAATTATGGTAGTGGTCTTATTCTCAGGGATTAACAGTGTAATACTGCCCTTTTCCTATTCTTTCTCCTAATGACCATTTTAAAATCTATAATAAAACCTTTTTCTTTAATAAACAATTTTGAAAAAAAAAAAATTAAGTCAGCCAGACATGTTTGCATGTATTTGCAATTTCAGCCCTTGAGAGGCCAAGGTACCAGTTCCAGGGTATCTAACACCCTGGCCTTCTTGGGCACCAGACACACATCATTTGTACAGTGTAAGTTCTACGTCTGTTAGACAGACACCAGATGGCACAGCCTCTGGGCTTAGTTCTGGGGCTACAGGGAGGGCTGGTTAATCTGTATACCCTGCTCAGTAAACAGAACTGTGAGGACAGTTTCTCCCCATGGGGGTGGCTTTCTGTGACCCTATGGACCTCCAAATCTATGAGTGCTCAGTCGTTTTTAAGATGGTTTAAGATGGCATGTAACTCACGCATACCTTCCTGTATACTTCACAGACACTTATTTATTTATTTATTTATTTTTCTGTAGCAAGGTCGTTTTGGAAACCAAGTTAGAGATTTTATTAAAGATACTGTAATAGAGGCCTACGTAAGAGGATTAAAAGGAAAAGGAGAGGCATATGGATGGTGGACTTCCCAGAGAACAGCAGCAAGTAAGACATATCAGATTCTTCAAGGGAGAGCTGCTGAATTTGTTTGGAACAGGGCCTCACTAAGTAGCTCTGGCTGACTTTAAACCCACTATATAGAGCACACTGGCCCCAGACTTCCTACCTGTGCCTCTCAGGTACTAGGCTTACAGGTGTGTGCCACCACTCAGCTACTGTCACCAATCCCCAGACAATTGAATCAGTGGACGCCGAAGCCGTGTACACAGACAGCAGACTGAATACTGGCATCAATTAGACCCACTCTGGATTCAATCAGGAGCAAAGTGCCCCTGGGAAACAGAATCTTATTCAGCAGAGGCAGGCGCAGCATTATTCTTGAATGGGTACTGCATGGTCCACACAAAGACCACAATTAACCAGGATAGGCCTAATTACAACTTTCTCTTAGACAATGGCAACCTGGCACTTTCCGACAGCCTGAGCAGAGAAGCGATGAATGGGTTCCACTTATAGCTTCCACTTACCGTTCCCACTAACGGGTATAGAAAACCAGCCCCGACGCTGGCACGGATGTCCCGGATGGGCAGAATGAAACCAGTAGGCACACCTTTTTGCTCTGGGTTGTGAGACAAGGACAAGTGTGTTTTGGCCATGCAGATGGGTAGATTTCCAAAGCCCTGAGGGGGGAAGAAAAGGGAACAGGGGTTTGACAAAGAAAACACTGACTATGCAATGAGAACATCTGGATAGCATCATGAGATGGCTAGCTCCTTGCATACCAACCTCCACCTTAGTTACCGCAGACCAGAACAAAAGAGAATCCCTCTAAGAGGAGGAGGGAAGTACTCAGCTATAGTCTACAAATGACTGCTTGATTCCCATCCATAGAATCAAAGACAGTACTACAGAGGGAGGGGTCCCAGCATTTCCCATAGTTCCTCCTGGCTTTTCTAGATGCTCATACACACTTACAGGTAAATGTAGGACTTAGGGCTGGAACCTCTAATCCAAACCCAGTATTTTGGGAGAGGAGGCTGCTGTCTGGAGGGGTGTAGCATAGGAGGTCACACTGGGAAAACTCAGGGTTCGGAGCCCAGGTTCAAACACCTACCTGCTTTGTGTAGATTTCTGCTTTTTTCTGTGCTTCTGGGAGCAATTCGATGTCATCTGCCCCGTAGATCTTCTGTGCAATTATCCTGATTTTATCCTCAATTGGGAGCTGATGTACAAGAAAGAAGGGACTGTGACTGGACACACACAAGGATCCTGAGCAAGGACATTCCAGACCAGTGTCCCCAAAAGGGACAGAATGCATTTTATGTGCTACAGACGTGCAAATAACTTGAGGGTTTTTGGGTCACAAACATTTAACTAATTTGATTATTGGAGGTGGTGAGGATAAAACCCAGGGTCTTGCATATTCTAGACTAACACTCTGCCCCAAATCCACACCTCCATCCCCAGGTTAGAAACATTTTTCTTATAATTAAAAAACAAAACAACTGAGTGCTGGTGGTGCATGCCCTTAATCCTAGCACTTGGGAGGTAAACGAATCTCTATGAGTTCGAGACCAGCCTGATCTACAGAACATGTCCAGGACAGTCAGGACTACAGAGAGAAACCCTGTATTGAAAAAAACAAAAGCAAACCAAATCAACCAACCAAAACAAAAAGACAAAAACTACCTTATGTAAAAGGATCTTTTATTCACCTGTTTCAATTGTCTCCTCCTTCTGCTAACCTAGGCCTAGTCCTGGAAACTTCTAGCCTCTGTACAATCTAACCTAGGCCTAGAATGTTTTCACTTTTTGAGACTTATTGCTGAATAAACTCACCCTTTCTTGTTCTTTCTGGCTCTGGCTGGCTGGTTCAACTCAGCTGTTCTGGTTCAGACTCATCTCCCAGATGACTTATTCAATCTGGCTTCTCTCTTGGACCCTGAATTGCTCTGCTTGGCCTTAAACTAACTCCAACAATCTTCTCTAATCTCCTGGCTCCTTCTGTCTTCACCTGTGTCTAGCTTGTTCTCTCTCATTCTGTGTAACACAGAGGTTAACACTGCCTCTTCTCCCTGCATTCTCTGTGCTGCTCCTTAAGTAGCTTCCCTTTCCTTTCTGTTCTCATGATGGTTGGGTGAATCCTAGCCTGTCAGATCTTTCTCTGATCTGTCACTTGTCCTGCTTTCAAGCATGGGTGCCTCCTTTTACAGACTTACTTAACTTTCATTGTTTGGGATTAAAGACACGGGCCACCATGCCTGGACCTAAGCTTTTCGTTACCTGATACTTGCTCTATACCAGGCTGGTCTTAAGCTCAGATTTTCTTGCCTCTGTCTCATGGATTAAAGGCATGTTTGTAAACGTGTATTTACATGTTTGTAAAGGCTGCATCGCACAGACCTAGAGGATCTTTGGGCGTGATCTCTTGCCAGAGCAGCCGTGTTCTGAATGAACATTCCTCTACAACCTTCTTTATTCATTGTATGTGGATAAGCATGTAGGTGAATAGGCATGCATTTCCCGTTGCTCCTGTGTGGAGGCCAGAGGACACCTGGGAGTCAGTTCTCTCCTTCAGGAATGTGGGTTTGGGGGGATTAAACTCGGGTCATCATGTCTGCCTTGCCAGCCCAGAACCGTTTTAATATGTAGCTCCAGATTTGGTGAATAAGTGGGGCATATCTCACAGATGTAAAGTTATTGTGTCTATACACACATAGATATGCAGACGTGCATACATATTTGCAAACATCGTACTTATCAGGCTTTCTCCTCCTGAGCAGCTAAGGCTCAGTGAATATATTGGGTAGATTTTGAAAGGAGCAACGTTCTACCTATAACACATAAGCTTAACTTTTTACTAAACAGTGGCCACTGACAAGGGAGCTTATAAAATGGACATGAAAACTGTGCTCTCAGTAGCGGCTTTAGAGAGATGCAGATGACGATCATGTGCCTCTTATAATTGGAGCTTGTTAAATGCTAAGGCACATTGAGAACTCTGGAAGCAAAACCATGTTGGTTGAGGGGTGGCTTAAGACTCGCAGATGCTGACTAATGCAGAAAGTGGCAGCCTCCTCTTCGCCAGAACCGAGCTCCCAGGAGAAATGGGTCACCCAGCCCTTGTTCTCTCACTTTTTCAGGTCACCTTCTGGCTCTCAAGACCTAGGGTGCCTGGCCGTGGACAGTGGCTTGGCAGGGGGCCCTACCAGTGCTCTTCGTTTGTGTTCATGGCATGTTCTAGAAGGGGGACTGTTAAAGGAGATTTTGGTTTACGAAACCAAAAGCTCAATAGGAGAACGTCATCATCAACAAGAGGATGGTGTGAGTGTGCGTGTGTACGTTGAGTGCGCTCGAGCTCAAGAGAGCAGGTGGAGGCGAGAGGACGGCCTCCTGTACCTTTCCTCTACCCCTGGTCACTTTGTTTTCTGAGTCAGGGTCTCTCACTGAACCCGCAGCTCACTGATTTGGCCACCCTGGCCGAATAGCAACCCTAGAGATACCCAGCAGCGCAAGGGTTACAGACATGCACCACCACGCCTGGCTCTTCCGTGGAGCTGAGGATCTGCAGTCAGGCCCTCATGCTCATGGGGCAGACACTCCAGCGATTGATCCAGGCTCTAGACTTATTTTTGGTGGCCATTTCTGATTGTCTTCGAAAAACCAAGCCAAAAAGTAGCCTAGGGCATTCAAGCTGAATGGACTATAAGGTACACCCCACCTTCCAAACAAAGTTTCTAAGTACAGTTGACAGACTAACACCTTATCACATCCTGAAGTACAACCCTATGCTGAAAACGGCATGCTTCGCGCTAACTGCAGTCTGTCATGGAACAAACTGCTTCTACCAGGCCAGAGCGATTCACCTGACTGGGTGATGGAGACTCTGACGAAGCTGTGGATGTGCTTTGGTTTTGGCACTGGGGTTTCTCTGAACTGAGGTAAGACTATTCCAGGAAGTGTGCCTGGGAGCACTCTTCTTTGCTCTATTACTGAGAAGTGGTCAGAAAAATTTCCAGAGCCAGATATAGCCAGCCCCTTGCCAATTGCTTACTAGTTGGCTCATGCCGTGGTGAAAGGCTTCAATGCAGTGAGCTGCATGGTTGGCTCACCCGTGAAGAGGTGTACATATTGGAAGCTCTACAAAGTTAGGGGGTGTGGTCATCTGTGTAAGACGGATGCCTCGAGCTCAGAGTCCAGGCTGTGGTCGGGGTGACTCACTCGTAAGGGGAGGCAGACACTGGTAACTACCCACACTGAGGCATTTCCACGCAGACTTCTGTTTCTGTTCTGTGGGCACAGGGCAACTAACCCACCTCGAGGTCATAGAGGAGCCGGAAGCTGCTGGGGGCCTGTGAGGCTCTCTGGACCGCCTGGGCTAGGCCCAAGGCTCCCTGGCCTCCTTCCGCCCAGTGCGTGCACTTGACAGCATCGAAAGCTCCGTGTTCTCTGGAGAGGCGGCTGATGAGGTCCAGCTCGGCGTCTGTATCTGTCCTGTACAAGAGGGCTTCAGGTTAAGGAATGGAAGGTGGCTGGGGAAGGGAGAGGAGGTCTTGCTTATGCCACTAAAGCCCGCACAGATTACCTCCTGAAAAATGGACACTACTCAATCCTGACTGCTTTCAACCTCAGCTCTATAACCAGCTGGCGGGGGTGACCTTTGGCCAGTGACTTCATCTGTACTTATTCGGCTCCCACAAGGGCGGGGGGAAAAAAAAAAAAGAAGGAATCACAGCAGCGCTGCCCTGGGATATTGTGAGGCTTAGACAGCGATCCGTGTAAAGAATCTGGAACATTCCCAGCGCACCACTGGGAATCAGTAAATACCACCTTTAAAAATTGCTGCCTCCCATTGTGCTGCGATGAGGGCATTATTGCTGAACCCTAAACAGTGCTCAAATGCCAAGCGACCCACACAGCTCTTGCCCAAGCACTTCTAGCTCGATACATTCAACTCTCTCAGCATAACGTCCCACCTGACCTTGAGACATAAAGACACGCTGCAGGCTCTGCTCCTCTGTTAGCACAAAAGGCCTTGGAACGACTGAAAAGATCGTTCCTTGTGTGTTCTCATTGCTCAGGAGAGAGGAGAGCTCTCGGGAGCAATTCGGATTTCCGGACCCCACCGGTGAGATGGCTGGGTCTGCTGTGACACAGAACAGTGCCTGTCACACCACAAGCAGTAACCATCAGCAGTACGTGAAGAAGAGAATGAAGTGAAAAGTGGCCTGGCACAACCTGTGGCAGGGGCTGTTGGCTGGCACTTTCCGCATTCCTCCTTTCTCTGTATTCTGTACTTACTTGAATGCGTTAATGGCCACGACTACAGGCACTCCAAACATTCTAGCATTTTCTATTTGTTTCTTCAAGTTACTGAAGCCCTTTTCAACCAGGTCCAGGTCCTGTAAAACAATAGCAGAAGGCCAGTAAGGTCAAAGCAAGCTAACCTGGAAACAGCTGTTGCCTCCTTTTAAGACAGATTGTCCCTGGGGCATGACAGGCACATCTGTAAACCTCGAACTCAGGAGGCTGAGCTGGAGGATAGATAAATTGAGATTAGCCTGGATATGCAGTGAATCCTTGTCTCAAATAAATAAGCCAGCAAGCAAGCAAACAAACAAATAAGTAGATGAATAAATGGAAGGTGTGTCTTTGAGCCAGAAGACACTCATAGCAAGGGCAAGAAGGTGGGCCAGCTGGGTGCTGTGATGCATACCTGTAATCCCAGCATTTGGGGAGGCAGAGGCAGGAGGATCTGTGTGAGTTCGAGTCCAGGACTGCCAAGGCTACACAAAGAAACCCTGTCTCAAAAAAAAAAAAAATAAAATAAAAATAAAAATAAATAAAAAAAATAAATAAATGAATGAATGAATGAATAAGTGAATGAGTGGAATGAATAAATAAGCAAGCACATCTAAAGAAAAAAGAGAGAGAGGGTGTTAGAGATGACTCAGTGATTAAGAACACTGGCTGCGCTTTCAGAAGACCTGGGTTCAATTCCCAGTGCCTACGTGGTAGTTCACAACTATAATTCCAGTTCCAGTGGATCCCAACAACTAGCTTCACACAGGCATTAAAAAACACCAATGTACATAAAATAAAAGTAACAAAGAATTACAAAAAAAAAAATAGGCCAACTGGAGGCCCAGCAATGCACGTCTCACAATGCCGCATTCCCATCTACAGTACGGGAGCAAAGCTGTGCTGTCTCCTCACACCATGGAAACCCGGCAGCTGGGCCATCAAGCATCACTATGCAATACAGTAATGGCCTCTTTGTTGTTCGAGGAGGATGCGTTGGATGCCTCTACTTAAATTAGACCTATACCTTGTTACACATCAGATTAGCTCCTATGGTGCAAGGCAACGAGGCTGTTAGTGCTGGGCAAACCATTTGATCACAACACAGAGGCCAGCACAGGGCCCACCCCCAAAGAGGCACTTCACACCCATCAGCCATAAACATGGTCAGGCAAGAAGTCAGGCAGATACTATTTGGAAAACTGGGCCGCCCTGATAGCTCAGTGGTTAAGAATACTACTTCCTGTTCTTCCCCGGGAAATGAGTTTGGATCTAGTGCAAAAGTCAGGCAGCTCACAACAGCCAGTAACTCTAGCTCTAAGGCATGCACTCTTCTGGTCTTCTGACGTGCCTGCCCCCCCACCCCACATGGCATGCACACGGAGACACAGGAAGGAAAATAAGCTCAGAAAGACGAGCCAGGGCTGGAGACGTGGCTTACAGTTGAGGGCACTGGCTGCTCTTGCAGGGGGCCCTTATCAGTTCCAGGGGGACTGATACCCTCTTCCGCCTCTGAGGGAGCCAGATAAGCATATGGAGGCTCTTCCCACGTACACATAAAAACCATACAGGCGTATAGCTCGCTTAGCAGAGTGCCTGCTCAGCATGCATGAAACCCTGTCTGACCCTCAGCACCAAATGACCCTAGCACCTGAGCACACGAAGCCAAGGAGGACCAAAAGATACAGAAGCAGGCAGAACATTCCTACACGTAAAATGAATCAACCTTAAAAAAAGAGAGTTTGCTCTGGGCAGCGTGCTGATACAGTCTCATATTCTGCTTCCCGTATGTACGTCCCCCAACAAATACTATAAAATCTAAAATTTAAAGGGAAGTAATGAAAGGAACTAGTGGAAATATTTAATTCTTCCCTCCTAAAAAAATGTACTTATTCATGAATTTATTTTTACGTGCACTGGTGTTTTGCTTGCATGTCTGTCTCTGTGTGTGAGAATGTTGAATCCCCTGGAACTGGAGTTACAGAAGCTGTGGGCTTTCATGCTGATGCTGGGAAGTGAAGCCTGGTCCTCTGGAAGAGCAGCCAGTGTTAACCACTGAGCCATTGCTCCAGCCTCTTCTTTATTTACAGATAGGATTTTACTATATTTTCTGGGCTCCTGTGATCCCCCTGCCTCATCCTCTTGAGTGTAGGGATTACGTGGGTGTGCCACCATTCTTGGCTTGAGACATACCTTTAAATAAATTTGCTTATCATCACTTAAAACACCGATCAACTGCAAACGTTACTGTCCTTTAATAGACTTGGCCAAGGAGGCCACACATGCACCTTCAATAAATATCCATCACATTGACACTATGAGAACCATCACCTATCTGTGCTAACATGAAGCCTACCCTAGGTGTACTACAGTAGCAAAGCTGTGGAGGGCTTAATCAATTCTCCTTAAAATATTTCTTACTTTTGTTTTTTCACTAGGTAGCTCTGGGTGTCCTGAAACTTACTATGTGGACCAGGCTGGCCTTGAACTCACAGAGATCTGCGTCCCTTGTGCTTAGATTAAAGGCATGTGCCACCATGCATGGATGATTTTAATTTTTAAATTATGTTTATTTGTGTGTATCTGTGTGTCATCGTCAACCCCCACTTGACTGTGCCATTGCATGAGTGTGGGGGTCAAAGATCAATCTGCAGGGGTTGGTTCTCTCCTTCCTCCAGGTATTTCCCCGAAATGTAACTGTCTAGAAATAGATAGGGTCTCATGTTGCCCAGGCTTGCTTCAAACTTGTTATCTGGTCAAGGATGACCTTGGATCTCTGATTCTACTGCTTCCACCTTGCAGGTGTCCCAACACTTAGACTCCTGCGCCTGGTCAGGATTAAACCCAAACGTTCGTGTTTGCGTGGCCATCAGACTACCAACTAAGCTATTTCCCCAGTCATGAGAATATGTACTAACTGTTAAAGAATTCCATTTCTTTTACATTCTTATAGTATCTAATTTTCTTTTTGTAAAGAAAGGACATATCATTTAAAATGCATATCAAATGGGGGTAGGGTTTCAGGGTAGCATGCATGAGACCCTGATCTGATCCCAGCACTAACGTCAAAACAACAATCCCTTCAAACAAAAAAAAAAAAAAAACCAAAACACCCCAAAACCTATAACTTCAAAATGTCAGTATTTTTAAAATATGAGCAGATGTACTGGCATACACCTTTAATCCCAGCACTTAACTTCCAGCACTCAGGAAGAAGAGGCAAGAGTATGCATCTGTGAGTTTCAGGGCAGCCTGGGCTACAGAGTGTGTTCCAGGTCAGCCAGGGCTATAAAGTGAGACCACATCTCAAGAAAAACCAATACATAAATAAATATGGTTGTCTTCATAGTAACACCTTGGATCACGAGGAAAGCCTAGCACTGTTACTTCTTGGTGTTTAGATGCCTAAAACAGCAGAAAAAGTAGGATGGTAAAAGGCAGAAAATGAGCAGGATCTTACAAACACTGTTTATAACCCCCCTTAATTTAACTGTAATCTGAGATCAGGATTAACCCGATGGTCTAAAGAGCACTCTAATTGTTTTTACTTCTAGTCACATGAAAACCAATTAATACATAAGACCCATTGAGAAGAGCTTTAAGTTAAGTCAAATTTCTTAAATGAAGACACCAGCTGGGCCAGTTCGGGGCAGTCACTGTAATTAGACACAGGAAAGGCTGCGGGGTGGCAGGAGGGCCAGAGCTGTGAATTCCCCTCCTACGCGTGAATCACACAGATGACCATAAAAGGCAAATCAGAAGACAGGCAGACTCAAGGCACCAACCATCTTTTTTTCCCCCCCCCACTCAGTTTTGCAACCTTCATTTGGGAGCTGTAGATTGACCCTGAGCTGACTGGTAGAGAGAAAGAGAATCATCGGTGACAGTGGCCGATGCTGCATCTTATTCCGGGGCCTGTCTGCTGTATAACCACTCACAGTGGCCCTAAGGATGTTTCTTTGATGGTAAATGATAGCAGTATGAAGAATTAAAAAACAAAACAAAACTGTTTTTAAAGTTTTTAAGAATTAAAAAAAAAAAAAAATTAAAAACAAAACAACAGAACTGTTCCTTGAGCTCCTGCCCAATAGATCGAATCTGTTTATGGAAGATGCACTTCCTGGCTCTATCTCGGAGTCTTGGTTTGCAGAGAGAAAGGTTATTTCTAAAGCTCTCTTCTTGTTTGGTTTAAATGGTATTTGGGAATTTATTCGGTGCAGGAAGAACAACAAAGGGAAGAAACGCGCCCTCAGTCTGGGGCTTCTTAACTCCAGCGCTGTGTTCATTCTGTTACCGGGGTGGGGCTGCCCCACAACAGCCTGGGCTGTTTAACAACCATCCCAGCCTCTACACACCAGATGCCGGTAACATTCCCGGAAGCAGCTGTGACAACCGAAAATGACTGTCTCTAGCTGGGTAATGGGTGCATACTTCCAATCCCAGCAATTAAGGGGCTGGAGTTCAAGGCCAGCTCGGGCTACTTACCAATACCCACTCCTCTAACAAATAGCAACCAACAGCCTCCAGACACAGCCCTGTTCCCTGGCAGTACAACTGCCTTCCACTGGTCTAGGGCAATGGCTTCCAGGGATGCTTGGTGGGCCAATTCTCCTCACTGCTACTTCTTTAATATGACTTCCAGTACACCGCAGGCTTTTTCCTCCTGTACCCTAAGGAACAGCCCTGGGTGGGACTGTTGCGTTTGTTTTCCAGATTAGGGCGTGCTAATTTGGAGGTGCTTTTTCCTAGGACAAGTGATAGAAGTGGTTGTAGTTACCTCTTCTATGTAAGCCTTGGGAAGAGGCAGTCCAGCAGTGACCTGGAAGAAAGGAAACAGAGTCAGCTGTGTTTCCTACTACTATCTGAGCTTAAAGTGGCGCTCAGTGCATGGGTGACAGGCAAGTGGCTGCATGCTTCAGAGAGCAAGCGGCGACAGCGTGAAGCGGTTTCCTGCCAGGCGGACTTGGAGCATCAGACGGTGGAGCCCAGGATGAGCACTTGGGTAGCTCTTTGTGGTGTGAGACGAGGTAGGACAGGTCGGATGAAGGCCAAGGTGGACAGGGATATGCTTGCAGCAGGACAGTGGATCCCGGGGAGTGAAGCCCACACCAGCGGAATGGCAATGACGGTGACTGTTGGGGGAAAGACAGCCACCAGCCTGTGAAAAGTCACTACTGCTGTCTGAGGTCAGGCCTGGGGTGGGGCCTGAGCTGTCAGAGAGGGAAAAAAAAAAAACAACAGCCAGTGAGCACCTGCCCTCCCTAGCGCTTGGAGGACCACTCCAACGTCCTCATTGATAACAGCAGTTACAGGCCAGCCTGGGTCCAAGAGGAGGGAGAAGGGGTGGGGCACAAGGAGACTTTCTTCCTCCTTGGAGCAGACTGAGGGGTGTGTGAACTCTAAAGCAGTTAGGTCACTGTGTCTCTGGGAAGAGGGCCCAGGGCCTGGGTCCTGATCTGGGAGCTGGCTCAGCCCCGCCGTGCAGCATAAGATCGCTCCATTGGTCACTGCTGGCAATGTCAGTGATTAAAAAGCCTCTAGCCGGGGCTTCTGCTCTTGAGGAAGACAGACGTCTGCATAGGCTGTGACGCTAAAAGGGCCGTGCGGAAGATAAACAAGAAGCTGAGATGTCCCCCCTAACTTCCCATAGGGCTGGCTCCTGGGCAGAGCTAGGGTGGTATAGGCTGAGACTCCTGTAGCTTCGTTCGAAGCTGTCTCTGGTCACGTGATGGACAGTGACTGAAGTGTTTATGAGACGGGAATGCTGGCCAGGGTCAGAACAAAGCCTAACCAACATTCCTAGCAGAAAGGGTGGTAGTCTAATCAGGGGCAACCAGGCTAAGGGCTGAGAGAGGCAATGGTTCACAGTGCCATCTGGGGACCTGAGCCTTCCAGGGGGACCCCAGGCCAAAACTATTTCCCTGACGGAGCCTTCACTTTCTCACCGAGTGGACAATGATCTCTCCAAAGGTCACATGCCACGTGATAACACAAGGCCTCGGGTGGACGAGAACCCACCGTCTCTAGTGAACCAGACAGAGAAGAGATTAATCCCAGCGCTCAGAGCAGAAGGGTCTCTGTAAGTTTGAGGCCAGCCAGGTCCACACAGCAAGTTCTAGGACTATAGCCAGGACTACAGTGTGAGGCCCTACCATAAAAAGCAAGCAAGCAAGCAAAATAAACAAACACAGAAAGAAGAGATGGGAAAATACTAGAACAAGAAGTGTAATTTTCTAAGCAATAGGAGTCCAGGAAGACACACCAAGGCCAGGCTGGGGCTGACCCTGAGGGAGCCATTTGCCTTTGCCACCATTTGCCTCTGCCAGCCGGCAGTCCTGAGCGACCTGCATTCTCCTTCCCCTGCCCCTGGCAGCCCTACCAGCTCACTGCAGGCTCCCAGAGTCCTGCCAGCCAAAACTGCTGTTCACATCTGACTTCTGCTTCAGCTTGGTGTTTGGCCTGCCTGGCTGCCGGAAGGAAAACTGAAATTGGGTATATATAAATAACAGGTTGAGGTGGACTTTCGTATCGGCAGGGCAAAGCGTGAGCCCTCAGAGGGGGTTAGATAGGTAAGTCACTAAAGCCAGTTTAGGTCCCCTCAAAAGGCTGCAAGGGGATTCGTCCCAGAGGGTGAGGTGACCCGTACGTGGACACCCTTGGCTTTCGGCGCCCCATCCAGTGTGAGAATGAGTGGGAGCAGAGGGATGCAGGCAGAGCCGAGGATACGGCCTGAAATTCCGTCAAGCTCCTGGAATGTTCCTGACAGCCACTCTCCTGGCCCTTGGTCCTCACCGTGGGGCCGCCCCCGTGCATCTTAAGGGCCCTGACAGTGGCAACGAGAACCACCACGTGCGGCTGGAGACCGGAATAGCGGCACTTGATGTTGAAGAACTTTTCCATTCCAATGTCTGCCCCGAATCCTGCTTCGGTCACTGCAAGGCACATGAGCAACTGTAAGGTCGCCACCGCCGCTCTGCGACGGAGAACCAACACACGGCCACCCACTGAGGGTGCACCCGGACTCACCTACGAAGCCCTCAGGGCCAACAAGCTTGAGTGCAATCCGGTCTGCGATGATGGAGGAATTCCCATGTGCAATGTTGGCAAAAGGACCAGCATGGACAAACACTGGCGTGCCCTGGGGAGACCATGACATCGTGAACAAATGTCAACCTGGCTTCACAGTGGGGTCACATTAGCCAAAGGGCTAGAGTTGAGTTGGTATTTGAAAAAAGACTTCCAGGGGGGGGAAAAAAAAAAAACCAAAAAAACAAACAAACAAACCACCCCAACCAAGCCACCCCTTTTCCATGGCAGTGCTGGGAATCGAACCAGGGCCTCTTGCATGCCAGGTAAACGCTCTGCCACTGACCTACATCTCCCGCCCCAATAAGAAAGGAAGTAAAGGAGGAGACAAGCAGTGGAAAAGGTTTATAAGGGATGGCAAGATGGCTCACTGAGTAAAGGTGACTGCCTTGCAAGCTTGCAGGACTGAATTCGTATCCCCAAGCCCAAGTAAAAGTGCTAGGAGAGAACCGACTCCACAGACTTGTCCTCTGACTTCCCACACGCATGGTGCGGCACACGGAATGCCACCATAACAAACCGATTTTAAAGAATCTTTTATTTAAAAGGCGCCTGATTCTGCGAGGAAGGTGTGCTTCACTCTCTGGGCTCTGACTACAGGGAGTGAACTCTGGATCCCAAGAGCTACCCAGCTCACCTCTAAGGTCTGCATGAGATTGGGCTTGATTGCGTCCTTCATCAGCACCGTCAGCGCTCCGCTCACACCCTGCAAGACAGGCCGGTGAAGCATCCACTCGTGCCAGCAGAAATCCGATCTCTTGAAGCCAGAACTCAGCACTCCGGGGCTTCTCATTCATTTGAACCATCTTGGAGCAATTAGTACTTTACACTAATCTCAACGATTCATCTCCATTCTCTATTTTTCCTGGCTGTCACCGGGAAGTCACCAGTCATCTTAGCAGGGGCAGGAAGTAGAAGGAAAGTGGAATTCACATACAATTTCGGAAAAAGCATGTGGCGCTGGAAACAAGTGCCCCAATCAAGCTCTGCTGCTGGCTGATGTGGGGAATCCATTTAGACCAGTTTAGCTCTTAAGAGCACTGAGTTATTTATAACTCTGGTATCTGAGCAGAAATGGGTATAAATCAAAGTCAATGTATGTTTCCCAAAGCTGAAGCAAAAATACTAGCCAGAAGTCTAATTCCGAGTACTAAATCCAGCCTCTTCTTTTAAGGTACCTAATCTCTGCTGAACAAACCAGGGGCAAGGTAAAATCAAGCAATGGTTCTCATTTATATTCAACATTAATGTGCTTCTAAATTTAAGGTTTGGGTGTTAAAATTTAAAAATACACATATTAACTGTGAAAACAAAGTTAACATTTTTCTCCCCTTTCTAGATTTGTCTGCCATAACACCAACTATGCTGGTGTGTGTTGATATAAATTAGTCCTTTAAAAAAATTAATACAAAGCTAGTATGACCTATGGGTCATGAAGCCTTTGGCAAACCTCTATCTCTAAAAATATTTATATTATGTTCATAACAGCAGCAAAATTACAGTTATAAAGTAGCAACAAAAATAATTTTATGGGGCTGGAGAGATGGCTCAGGTTAAGAGCACTGTCTGTTCTTCCAGAGGTCACGAGTTCAATTCCCAGCAACCACATGGTGGCTCACAACCATCTGTACTAAGATCTGATGCTCTCTTCTGGCTTGTAGATGTACATGAAGACAGAGCACTTATATACATAAAATACTTAAATAAATAAACGTTTAAAAAAAATAATTTTATGGCTGGGGTCACCACAACCTGAGGAACTACATCAAAGGCTCACGACATTAGGAAGGTTGAGAACCACTATAATAATCCCATGACTCAGACGGTCAAACTAGGAGGATTAGTTTGGGAATAGCCTGGGCTACATGATGAGTTCCAAGAAAGCTTGAGTTGGTTGAGACCTTGTCTAGAAGGATATTTGTTTTTCTATACGAATTTTGATTTCAAACTTTGTATCATGTACATAGAGAGCTGGACATAGCGGCGCACACCTTTAATCTCAGCGCTTGGAGGCAGAGGCAGGGGGATCTCTGTGAGGTCCTGGTCAGCTTAGTGTACATGGAGTTCCAGGACAGCCAGAGATACATAGAGACCCTGTCTAAAGCAACAATATCAACCAACCAAAACAGAAAGAGACCCACTAGAAGACCATCAGCCAAATTAGCTCAGAGTCCTTCCAAGCCAAGTGTCATGGGCAGCAGCGGGGTGACACCAAACACTTGGAAGCAGGTGTTTCATACAAACTTTAGTCACAGCTTACTCAGGAAGATACTTGCAGGATGAAGGCATCATTCAAATCACCTGGCACTTGTGGCCCATTCCAAGAGCCCAGTGCCAGTACCATCATTCACTATCAAGTACTTGAAAAAAAAAATGCAAATAAACTTCCTAATTTTTGCAATGAGCAAAATCAGTGAGTGAGTGAACTGCAACATTTTAAGTAGAACGTACTCTTTGTTTTCAATAATCACTGGCTAGGCATGGCCATGTCACTTACGAGATCTTCACAACTGATAGGCTCTCCTTTCTTACTGGACGCCACCACCATTTTGCCCAGTCTTTCTCTCATGTCTTCCAGAGAACTGGTGAGGGCCAGGACTGCCATGATTTCACTGGCCACAGAGATATCAAACTGGGCCTGTGAGCAGAGTGACAGAGAAAGGCCCTTTGTGTTAGACCAGAAGATAAATTATAGGAGGCATCCCTCTCGGCTTAGACAAATAGCTAACAAGGACAGAACAGAAATAACTAAATCATCTTCCAACATTTAAAATTTGTAATTGTTCAGAGGTCTTGAGTAATCATTAAATAAAAATAAAAACAACGTTCTAGGGGTTGTAGCACCAGGACACAACACTTGCTTACTGTGCACGGAGCCCTGGCTTTGATCCCCCACACCTCATGACATGGGTGTAGCAGTACTTGCTTGTACTCCCAGCCCGTGGAAGGTGGAGGCCGGAGGATCAGAGTTAAAAGTCATCCTTAGCTATGCTAAGTTTGAGACCAGCCTGAGACCACATGAGAATACCCCGTAAAGAAAAAAAAAGTTGTAGCATGATAAATAAGCTTGGAATGTTGGTTACAGTTTTCCTGACGCAAAAGGGACAACACAGGTACTCTTACACTGAAGATACAAACCGCCAAATGGATACAGAAGAGGAACAATTTGATTGAATTTATATGCAAGAATATTCACTCGGGGTTCTCCACCTCCAGGAAAAGAAGGCTGGGGGAAAACCACACAGGTGACACATGCATTTACTGCAGAAGCTGTCAGGAGCGCTCGGCGCCACGCCCACTCACTTCCATTTTAAAAGGAAGAAGGCAGAACAACACCTGCTGGTGTGGTCGTGGAGGAGGAGGAGGAGGAGGAGGAGGAGGATGGAAGCAGCGAGAGCTAGTTCCCACGGAGCAATTACTGGAGGTGAACAGTTACCGTGCGTGTGTGGCCTTTCTCTGTTGGAGACTGCCCAATTGTAATCTTCCTCAGGAATCTATCATTGGTGTCCAACACTGCAGTGCAAGGGGAGGGCAGGAAGAGCTTTTAAGAAAAGGTGTGTGAATAAAGGGGTGGAGATACAGTCTAATGGTAGGACACTCTGGCATGGTCTAAGGTTGATCCCAAGCACTACTGGAAGGAAGGAAGGAAGGAAGGAAGGAAGGAAGGAAGGAAGGGAGGGAGGGAGGGAAGAAACACAAAGCTAGAGGAAACAGCATACAACTATAATGCCAGCCCTGAGGGCTGAGGCAGGATGAGCACAGATTTAAGGCTTTCCTAGGTTAGACAGCATGAGCCTATCTTAAAAGTAAATAAATAATTCCACAAAGATGTAGGGGCCATAAAAGCTAAAGGGAGCAGCACAGTTTTGTATGTGTGTATGTGTGTTTGTTTATTGTTGTTTTCCTTGAAACAGGCTCCTGTATTATGTAGCCTTGGATATCCTGAAACTCACCACGGTAGACCAGGCTGGCCCTGAGCTCAGAGACCCTGGCTCTTGAGTGCTGAGATTAAAGGCATGCACCACCACATCCAGTTCAACAACAGAGTTTTAAAACAGCAAATGTAACCTAAGGATGGTCTATTCATACTTGATTTCAAAGGACAACAAAGCTAGACCAGTGTGAGCAACACAGCCGCACATCAGAAACGCAGAGAAACGGCACTTAGAGCAAAGGAATGCGGAGTGGCTGAGCTTCACTGCTTCTAAAGAATCCCAACAATTATGAAATCTGGACTCTAGTTCAAAGCTCGATATTAGCAGAGAAGCACAGAGCCACCCAGTTATGAAAAGGCTAAGGTGTGTATTGTTCTGTGGGGTGACGCACTGACCATACACCCACATAAGAGCCATCAACTCAGACCAAGTGCAAGTGCCTGCAAAACACTCCAGGTCGCGGGCCTGGCCTCTCCTTAGCACATTCTTTGGTGATGATGACAGAATATATACCCCTTTGTCTAACCTCAGGGAACCTGGAAAGACCAACCACCTGCCGATTCAGGCTTGGCTTCCCAGGTCTGGCTACTGTTTTAGTGGGTCTTTACTTTCAATTTTTCTATGTATAGAATCCAAAAGAGCATATCTCATCTTTGCCATGGGTTCATGGCACAAAGCTCACAGAGCCCTTGGAATGTTAAGGGGACAGAAGGTCGCCAGCAAGAACAAGCAATTGGAGGGATTGAACTTTCAGCCTTATCCAGAGAAACTGACTGCCCCGCCCCAGTGGATTGAGGAATAGAGATGAAGACCTAGAAATATCATCATCATCAACATATTTAGTTGTGTAAAGCAGTGAGTTTCCAGGCTGGTGAACACCTGAAGGCTCAGGGAGGGTGATGCAGACAGATCTTATATAAGCCTCCGACAGGCTCTTCCCTAATTGTTTCTTTTATAACAAACCAATAAACACCATGAGAAGTAGTGAGGTGTGGTGCCTCATGTGAGGGTGAGAATCAAGAGTTCAAGGTCAGTGTAGGCTACATAGTAAGACACTCTATTTCTACACATGACCCCCCCCCCAACGACACAGACACATACGCGCGCACACACACACACACACACACACTAAAGTTCATGACTAAGCAATGTATTAAACTCTCGTAACAGATGGCGAGCTTGTTCCTTGTAATACTGCAGTGGGGTCTGGAGAGATGGCTCAGTGGTTTAGAGCGCCTATTGCACTTGCAGAGGACGGAGGTTCGGTTCCCAGCAGCCACCCAGCAGCTCACAGCCACTCACAGTAACTCCAGTTCCAGGGGCTCTCAGGCCTTCTCCCAGTCTCCCAGGCACAGACATGGTGCTCATACATGCATACGGGCAAGACACCCATTTACATGAAAAAGTAATGAACAGATTTAAGAAACTAAGAATGGTGCAGCCTTTACTTGAAGCTATTGAGGCAAAAGAAAGAATGCCAGTATGGTTTTGGTATTCAGAATGTCACTGGGGGCAACAGAGATGGCTCCAAGGCTAAGAGCTTTGGTTGCTCTTCCAGAGGACCTGGGTTCCAGAACAGGCATGGCAGCTCACAGCTGTCTGTAGTTCCAGTTTCAGGATATCTGACGCCCTCTGCTGGTCTCTGTAGATACTACGGACTCATGGTGTATAGATAGAGATGAAGGCAAAATATTCATACACATTAAAAAAAAAAAATCTGAAGAAAATAGTTTTAAAAAATGGCATTTTAAAAATGCCATTAGGCCAGGATGGTGGCCCACACTTGTAATTTGGTATTTGGAAGGTGGAGGCAAGAGGGCTAGTTCAAAGTCAACCTTGGCTACATAGAGAACTCAAGATCAAAACAAACCAAAACCTCCCAACAAGCAGGACATTAATGGTTACTGTGTCAATAAAACACATGCACACACAAAGTCGGTAAGTTGGCTTTAGGGTATACTCTGCATGGCTAGGTGAAAATCTCTTCTCTGCAGTGATACAGAGGAGATGGAGAGGAAAGAAAATCTCAAGCCAGCTAATTGTACACAAAAAAAAGCAGCATATGGCAGTGAAGTCAGGCAAATGTCTTGAAAGCTGAAGGCTGGCAAGCGAGTCCCAAGAGGCGTTAATAAAATGAGAAACAATTAGAAGGATGAAGAGATACACGCGAAAGCAAGTCACCGGTGCCAGAGTTCTCAGAATAAAAAGCACACATGATTCAAGTGATTCAACATCATTTTCCCACTTCATGACACCAAAACTTTCTGCATAAAATTGAAACTTAAAAAATGTTATTTTTGCTTTATGCATGAACTTCCTTGAAACTGTCATTTCAATCAACACTGAACAGACAGCAAGACATTCAACCAATCCCACAACGGGACATCTACAGAGCAGCTAAGGTTGGCGAGCAAGGCGAGGGAAGGATATGATCATTCTGGACAGCATCCTGACCCAGGGGCATTCTGGGGGCGTGGGAGGTGCGGGGTTCCTGAAGCACAGGGGCCTGGCAGCCTGTGGTTGGGCACATACCTCTCTGCCACGTTATGGTTTCTGGGTCAATATCCAGTCTTGCAAATCTGTTTATCTCATCATCCGTCAGTGTGGTAGGGTCAGTCTTTTCAATGCCTAGCCTCTGAAAAGACAGAAAATGAAAACACAGAATAAGACAAGGGCCAGCACTTCGGAGGCAAAGGCAGACAGATCTCTGAGTTTGAGACAGTCTGGTCTGGTCTACACAGCATGTCCCAAGACAGCCAGGGTACATAGCCAGACCCTGTCTCAACAAAACAAAACAAAAACAAAACTAAGATGAGCATTCATTCATTCATTTATCCCTCTGTTTCCCGATTATAGATGTGATGTTACCAGTTGCTTCAAGCCCCTGCTGCCTCAACTTCCCCACTATAAGGGACTGTACTTCGAACTGTAAGTGAATATAATCCTTTTCTCCCATAAAAATATAAAAAGAGAGAAGCATTTTTTAAGTGACTTTTATCTTGAGAGAGGGACTCCATTAGGAAAGAAGGACCATAAATCCAGCTGGTGGTGCACCCTTGGGATGCCAGCACCTGGAATGCCAGCATCTTAAATCCAGAAGGGAAAACCCTGATGTGACCACCCCCCGCCTGCCTAAGCCTGGATGTTGTTTCCTGTTCCCACATAGTGTGTCTGCCTCTGTAGCTCATCTCCAGAGAGTTCCCTCAATCCAGCTGAAAACAGCCCCGGGCAAAAAAGGCAAAAAATGAGTAGCAATCAAAAAAAAAAAAAAAAAAAATCACCTTAAATTCTTTTACATGGCTCGAAGGTTTTGCTGACTTCTTACTCTTCTAAAAAGACATATTTAACATCTACAAGGGTCCCTCTCAAAACGGAAAATGCTTATAAAATAGTCCCTTTGAATTCAGGGCACTCATGAGTCAGTGAGCCCCAGCCAGATACTTTTGGTCCATGGTTCTTTTCAAGACAGGGTTTCTCTGTGTAGCCCTGGCTGTCCTGGAACTGCAGACCAGACTGACCTCTAACTCACAGATCCACCTGCCTCTGTCCCCCAAGTGCTGGGATTAAAGGCATGCGCCACCATGGTTCTTTTCTTATGTAGAACCTCAGATGCCCCAAGAGCCTCGAACTTGACACCGTTCAAAGAAAACACGAACCCCTCGGTGACCCTGCTGCTGGAGGTGAAGGTCAGTCTCATGGTTAGTGTGATGAGGTGTAGAGTCCCCTGGGAGCCAGGCTGTTGGGCAGGCCCACGGGGGAATTTATCATGAGTAGGCTAACAGAGATGGGTGAGAGCCACCTACTCAGTGCAGAGGACATTCTTTGAGTTCTGACGCTGCATTGCACAAAAAGGAAAGAGTGAGCTGAGCGATGTGCTCGGCTTCTGTGCTTTTCCATGGAGGGGGTACGTGACCAGCTGCCTTGCCCTTCCCTGGCTGTGACTTCGCCACTATGACGGGCTCTAATTCCAACTGAGGGCCAACAAAGAACCTTCTCTCCACAGTTGCTTTTGTCTGGCTTTTTTTTTTTTTAAATCGTAGCAACAGGATATTAGCACAGTAACCCACTTTTGACTGTGCACATGAGCAGACTATGAAAACACTATGTAGCTGGGTGGGGGTGGCACACACCTTCAGTCTCAGCACTCAGGAGGCAGAGGCAGGTGGCTCTCTGTAAGTTCGAGGCCAGCCTGGTCTCCTGAGTGAGTTCCAGGACAGCCAGGGCTATGTAGTGACACCCCATCTCTCTCTCTCTCTCTCTCTCTCTCTCTCTCTCTCTCTCTCACACACATCTCAACAGCAAGGCACTGTGCATTGGAGAGTAGCTGGAAGGGAGGGACAGGAACCTGGGTTCCAGTGTGAACTGCAGCACTGGGCAAATCTCCTGATTTAAAATCCTTGAGCAGGTTGTCTCCTTTCCCTACTGACAGGAAGTCCCTTCAGGAAAGGCAAGGTTAGGTCATTGGCTCCCCTCACAGTACTCTACCAAGCCACAGGATATGGCTGTGTCATGATGGAGTAACACCTGATGTACCCGATGCACAGGTTTCGGGGGAGGCATAAGAAAATATGCTAAGGAGTATCAAACCACACGAAAGCTGGTTAGTATCTTCTCAGTGGGCAACAAAGTCAACAAAATCCTCACACAGAAATTATCAACAGAATTGTAAGTACAGAAACGTGAGCAACACATTGGGTAAAGGGACTTGCACGGGATACTCTTGCAGCATCAAAATATGGAGTTGCTCAGGGCTGCATAGAAGGCTCAGAGGGTAAGAACCCTTGCTGTTCTTGCAGAGGACCAGGTTCAGGTCCCAGCACCTATGCGGAAGCTCACAACTGTCTGTAACTCCAGTTCCAGGGGAACTGATGCTCTTTTTCTGGCCTCTGAGGGCACCAGGTACACACCCACATATATTAAATACATATTAAAAGAAAAAAAAAACCTTACCCCCACAAACTTTGGGGGATGTAGCTCAGAAGGGGGCTTAGTAAGTGTGAGACCCTGGGTTCAATCCTGAGCACCACAGGAAAAGACAGGTTGCAAAGAATTAGAAATGAAGTGGGTAGAATGGTTGATGAACAGTAACACTATTCCACAGGTGCTTACGTGTGCACAGACACATAAACTCTCCCCCCACTTCAATTAAGTCACATACCCCTGTGCTATTCCTTTAAGGTCACACTTTCCCCCTGACACATGACAAGGGACACAGTAGCCTGATGTTCTGTCTCACTGAGGTTGCACATAAACAGCGCAGCCGACGGACCTTTTGATACTGGCTTCTCTTATTCAATATGATGCCTTGGAGAGTCAGGCCAGTTGCTGTGCCTAGCAGCAGCTCATTTTTTGCTGCACAGATGCACCACAATTTGTTTAGCCATCCATCCATTGACGATTTTTCTCACTTTGGGGGAGATTATTCATAGAGTCATTAAAATATCCACGTACAGGCTTTTGTGTGAACACCAAATTTCATTTTTCATGTTAAAAAAAAATAATCAAAGAGAGGAATTTCTAGGTTGTGTGGTAAAGCATGCGCTTACTGACGATAAGGTTTGGGGGAGAGGGGGATCAGAATGTCAACGGACTGGCTTTGAAAGCCCAATGACCTGAGCTCAAAACGCCAGATGTGCGCGCACACCTACGATCCCAGCCGTCCGACGGCAGGATGAGAGAAGACGGGAGAATGAGCCACTGCCCGGCAGCAGAAACAAGCATGGCCCCACTGCCACAAACTGGAGAGCAAGCACTGGCCTCCCGAACGTTGGCCTCCAACCTCTACACGGCGCTGTGACCCACACAGCCCTACACCTAATGCACACAGATTAATATGTGAAGAGTGGTTCCAGAGATGCCGCAGAATTCAACAGAAGCACAGGTGTCACCAATGCTCCAGGAGTCCTTCCTTTCTGTAGAGTGGGCATTTAACCCATTTATTATAGAAGACTGAACCCAGAGGCGGCCCACAGAGACCCAGGGCTAGGGAGGACGGGGATTCCAACCCTGGAGGCTGCACCTCTACCTATTTTTCTCCCAAAGTTACCCCAACATCAGGGCTAAGCTTAAATTCTTGGAAAGGGGACCTCTGACTCCACAGGCAGAAGTCTTAGCGCTGGCATTTAAGGTGTTCCACGGGAGGGATGAAAAAGCCCACAGACAAAAATACCAAATGCTGGCCCAGGCTATTCAACCAGTCTCCGGCACTACCCAGGCTCTCTTCCGCTCTAAGGGACGAGAAACACCGGGTCCCTGTTTCAAATGTGGTCAAAAAGGTCACTGGGCCAGGGCTTGCCCTAAACCCCAAAAGCCACGAGGGCCATGTCCAAAATGCCACCAAAAGGGACATTGGAGTGTTCACTGCCACCGTTTCTCCCATGATATGGGGGCATCACCCCCAGATAGCCCTCCGGCCGATATCCTAGGCCTGGCTACGGACGACTGAAGGTGCCCGGGTTCCCTTGACCCGACCACTGTCATCACGAACAGGGAGCCTCGGGTAATTATCATGGTATCAGGGCGAGCCATCTCCTTCCTTGTGGACACCGGAGCCACTTACTCAGTCCTATCAGAGTACTGGGGTTCCACTTTTCCTTGTAGTTCCTCTATTGTCGGGGTAGGGGGACAGCCTTGCCAGCCCTGCCGGATGGCACCCTCACTCTTTTCACAATAAAAAGCATCTCTCTTCTCTCTTAGCTGAGGACAGACTGCCAGCGCTCCATTTACTATGGGACCAATCACATAATTTACAAAGAAACGAGGGGAAAAGCTCTACCAATCAGTCCTCGCTGCCCTTTTCAGTTAGGTTTCTTGCAGTATCAGAAATCAAGAGCTTACCCGTAACCTCCGGATTTGGATGTCGGAGAACATTCTTATTCCATTTACTGAGGGTACCAAACGATTAAAGAGAGCCTTAAAGCAAGGGAAGAAAAGAGCTTTAGGTCAAGAATCAGCACCCAAGGGACTAACACTAACCCAGGAGTATCCACCCCCCCCCTCCACACACACACAGACACACGCCCCTCGGCATCCTACCTTGTCTGTCTGGGTCTGCTCGTGAAACATCCGAGCATCGATGGCCGCAGCCACAAGGTTGTTGGCTGCAGTGATGGCGTGGATGTCCCCAGTGAGGTGGAGATTAAACTGCAAAAGAGCAGGAGCCACAGCAGTCTCCAGCGGATCTGTCTTTCCGGCCCGTACAGTGCTCCCCCATCCTCCCCACACAACCAACTCATTCAGTGGGAGCGGGCTGAAGGACAGCTAACGGACAAGCCCAGGAGTGGGCTTCTCTGTGAAAAGCTAATGCCGAAACTGCCACTGGCTGAAGGCCAGCCTGAGCTACACAGCAAACACCGGAGCTCTTTTTCGTTTGTTCTTAAAGAAAACACAATGCCTGGCTGTCTTGTCCCTGAAACAACTCCTCCCAGAGAAAGAAGGAGCACTTCTCTATCAACGTGTCCAGAGAGCAGAGCGCGCACCCACTGCTGAGGCCAACGGTGGGTGCAAAAGCGGGAAGGAGCCTGACAGCCGCTCCCTGTGGGTCCCATGCATGTGTTTACATGACCATCAGAACGATTATCCCCACTGAAGGGCAGACCCTGGCACCAAGCTGTTGTCACAAGCCTACAGAGAAAGACACTTTTGTGTAATGTGTTCCTCCTGAAACAAGTGGACTGTCCACTAAGCATTCTTAAAAAAAAAAAAAAAAAAAAATCTCATCTCTGGAGAGGAGAGACTACCATAGAGGGTCTGGTTGAGTCAAGCTCTGGGCTGCTTTACCTCTTCCATAGGAATGACCTGCGAATAGCCGCCTCCTGCAGCGCCACCTAGGGGACAGACCAAGGGTGGGGACTCAGGTTAACTTGCTTCTCCAGGAATTGGAATGTGTTGTTTTTTTTTTTTTTTTTTTTTTTTTTTTTTTGTAATTACTAAGCATATTGTTTGTTTACTTCCTCCAGTCATTTGGACAGATGTGAGCAGGTGTTTTCTCATTTTCTTTACCGCACCTAAACACTTGATCGCGCTCACGCTGAATAGTCTCTCAATTGAAATCTGAGTGCAAATGACAACACCATGAACACACGCATACATACCTACTCATTATCTTTAGAAATAGGTTCCCCGTGATTCCTAACATGTTAAAAAACCCAGGTGACAGTTACATAAAGGCAAGCCTGTTTCATTTCCTATTTTACAAAGCTACTCTAGTTTCCAAAAAAGGAATCGTAAAGGTACACACCTAACAGAGACACCAACTCTTCTAGAAGAGAAGATACATATAAAAAACCAGCTGAACTGCCAGAGCCCTGTGGCCTATGTGGTCAACAAGGGGCCACTCAAGATGTCCACGGTGCCATAACATTGGTTAAGGAAAATGTCAGTGTTCAAGTTTGGTGAGGAAGAGACTATGCAAGGAGGGAAATTCAGTAAGAGGAAAAGAGAACAATGGGTTCTCTAAGCAGAATAATGCAAAAATGCTCCTGGAGTCAAAAGGAGGTTATTACAACAAGCTCAAAGGTGGGGCGCAGTGGCACAGACAGATAATTCCAGTTCTCAGGAGACAGGAAGATCGAAAACTGGCCAGCCTGGGCTACACAGTGAGTTCTAGGCCAGCCCGAACTACCTGCAAAGACCTTGTCTAAAAGACAAAAGGAAGCTAACAAACAGAAGCAAGCCAGCCTTGGCCGGAGGGAAGAGGTGCACACGCCAAGGACATTTGCATTCATTACGGGAACAAGCAGAACGTGATGCTTTGTCATCTAGCAAATGAAGACTCTACCTCTGTCTGAGAACACATTATAATCAATAAAAATATAATCAATGAAGAGAGTATGTTTTGAAAGTAGGAGTAAAACTGTCTAGAAAAACATAGAGGAGTAATAGGAGGAGGAAGAAATGAGAAAAGGTTGGGCATGGGGTTTGGGGTGTGGAGTGTATGTGTGTGTGAGAGTGTCATCATGCAGCGTAGCACCGCGTACAATGAATATGCACAATGAAAGTTAAAACAAAAACAGCAGCATGTTTGGGTGTGTGGCTCAGCGGCAGTGTTTGCCTAGCATGCCTGAATTTAATTCCAACCAACATGTGCAAAATAAATGAATAAAATCAATCAATGACCTGAAAAAGAATAAAGAAAAGAGAGAAAACAAGAACGTCATTAAAGAACCATAGTGATCAAAATCAGGAGGGTAAATATGGTCATCGGCCCAGTGTTCTTACCCACCCATAAGTGTTGCGTACAGTGGCTTAGGCGTCAAGTAAGAGTTGCAGTGGTCTCAGTTATAACGGTCCCTGACCTTCCTGATGCGGTGACCTGAGTTCCTCACGTAGTGGTGACCCCCAGCCATAAAATTATTTCGCTGCTACTTCATAACTAACTATAAATTTGCTGCTATGAATCACAATCTGACATGCGACCTCAAAGGGGTCACGACCCACAGGGTGAGTCCAAGGGGCTGGTGGGATGGCTAAGTAGGGGAAAGGTGTTTGCTGCCAAGCCCGACAACCCAAGTTTAATCTCTAGGATCCATATGGTGGAGGGAGAGAACAAGCCCAGCAGGTTGTCCTCTGACCTCCATAGGCAGGCTGCGGCACAAACACAAACAAACAAACAAACAAACACAAACTAACTAACTAACTAGCTGTATAACGGTACCTGTAACCAAGCTACCAGTAAAGTCGCATTTGCGGCTGTCATAAATCGGTGGTGACATCATCTCATGTGGGAGGAGAGAGTGATGCATACACAAAATGTTTAGCACGGGACACCCAGCACACACTAAGTGAACGCAGGCCTTTCCTTTTCCCTACAGGGAGACCTCTGAGGGGCTGGGCTCTTTCAGTGTAAGCCTGGACCAACAGCCGTGGTTTCCTTCCACGTCACATATCCCCAAGCATCTCTGTGTATGTCAAAAGTGGTAAGACCTGAGGTAACAATGAAAGCCTTCCTCAAACGCATCGCGAGACAGATGTCTGAAGCAAATAAATATTCCAGCTGTCTAAGGGAGCTAAAGCCTTCCCCATAAGCATCCAGGGGTAAAGCCAGTCTGGGAGGGCTGTGGGAAAGGCAGGGGAGGCAGGTCCCCCCCCACAGGTACCTTTTATTCCAAAGGTAGGCCCCTGAGAAGGCTGTCTCACACACGCAAAAACATTCTGATGCAGGTGGGCGCCGAGGGCTTGCACCAGTCCAATTGTGGTTGTGCTTTTTCCTTCTCCCAGGGGTGTTGGAGTTATTCTTCAAGAAGAGAGCAACAGACAATAGAATTAATGTACTTGAATCACTGCGCACTCTGCAGAATAACTCCTAATCTAGATAATAGGCACAGGGGGCTAGAGAGATAGCTTGGCGGCTAAGGGCACTTGCTGTTCTTCAAGAGAACCGAGTTGGGTCCCAGAGCCCACTTACCTAACAAAGCCATCTAGGTTTGCAGCCATCTGTAACTTAGCCCCAGAGGAATGCTATAGGCTTTTCTGGCATGTACACACACACACAAACACACACATGATTTTTTTTTTTTTAAATAACAAAAGGCTTGAGAGCTTTTCTAAGAGTCCCAGTTGTAATTTTCAAAAATATTAAGGACAAAAATAATGAGGTTTACCAGATGGCTCCGCAGTCTCAAAGCCTAACCCCGAGTTTCATCTGGAACTCACATAATGGTGCCAGGAACAAACGAGCTCTACAAAATTGACCTTACACTTCCACGCTTGAAGCCCTACATGCACATTTCATTCATGTACACAATAATATAAACAATTTCAAAGAACTTCTGCCCTGCTCACTACAAGAGAGAAAGGTACCTGACAATTGATCCCGGCATCCCATGATTTTAAAAAGGTAATTTTTATTCTACGTGTATGTGGTTTTTGCCTGGCTGTGCACTGCATGCAGTGCCTGTGGAGGCCAGAGGGGGGCAGATTTCTCAGGACTGGAGTCACAGACTGCTGTGAGCCGCAACACAGGTGCTGGGACCCAAACCCGGGTCTTCCGGAATCACTGAGCCGTCTCTCCAGCTCTCCCCGCCCCCCATATAAGAAAACGATTTACTTATTTGCTTTTACTTTATGCGTGTGAGTGTTTTGCCTGCATGCTGCACACGTGTGCCTGGTGCACCAAGAGGCCACCGGATCCCCTGGAATCACCTGGTCTGTGGGTATCTGCACTCACACGCCTGCATGCACTCACGCAAGTTAAAACAACCATAAAACCACCACCAACAAGAGACAGGGCTAACGGCTCTTCCACACACTCGCAAACGGTGATGACAGCTGAACGTGACCCTGCTGGCAACAGGGCGTACGTACCCAGTCACGACCACGTATTTCCCATCAGGCTGGCACTTCAGGCGTTCTAGTACCGACAGCAAGACTTTGGCCTTCGTTTCCCCGTATAGTTCCACCTCCTCTGTGAGGAGCCCAATTTCTTGGGCCAGTTTCCCGATGAGTTTTGGTTTGTAAGATCGAGATATAGCAATGTCACTTTAAAAACACACAAGGACGGGTGCCGGCCTTTAGTCACTGCGCTTGAGTAAGCCCACACTAGCAACACCCTTTCACCCCCAATCAACAGTGCTGTCAGGAGAAGCACGCGTGGACCCACGGTACCCAACGGTTAACCCCCAACCAAGGTTCCGACCAAGAACACCTCACTCTTACCTGGGGACAGGCGTCTGCAGGTTCAGCTTGTTATACTGAATCGTCCACTTTCCTGGCTTAAATTTCCGCAGGAAACGCTGTGCGCTCTCTACTGTGCTCTGGGTGTACGAGAGGGACGGAGGTGCAACAGGTGAATAGCCTAACTCCACACACAGCAGCTCCAAGCCCCAGGTCACAACAGTTCAGCCCAACTGAATCGATTCAATTGTAAAGCCTCAACTAGAGCTGAGTGAGGAGGCGCCATGCTCTAAGGCCTCTGCCTCACACACCCCTCACTGTGGCCAGCCAGGGCGTTTCTACTTCAGTTCTAAATTCCAAAGGCCTTAAGAACGGTTCTGCCTCTGCTGCTAACATGAGGGGTGCCATTTCTTTGTTCTCTCGTTCCTCTTTCCTTCAGCAGCCTCCTACCTGTGCGTAGCTTCCAAGCAGGTTTTAAGCGGTGGTGTCTTTGGGTAGAAATGTCTCTAGGACAGTCACGGAACTGTCCACACCGTACCTGCATCAGCATTGCCACGGTCATGGGCCCCACGCCACCGGGGACGGGTGTGATAAAGCTTGCCCTCTCCTTGGCCTCATCATACGCCACATCACCCACAACTTTCTTCCCATTTGGTTTTGTATCGTCTGGGTCAGAAGGGGGAAAAAAAAAAAAAAAAGAAAGAAAGAAAAAGCAAAGTCTCAGAGTCACAATAATGGTGTTTGACAATCTGGTTCCCTACACCCCCCCCAAAACCGATCTATGTAAAACTTATGAGTGCATTAGTCCCATTCGGCTGAAGTGTGTACTTCCCCAACACCAACACAGGGCTAGGTAGATGGCAGGTGTTCTCTAGTTTCTAGGGAGAAAATTATATTATCCAAAAAAAAACCCTCTTAAGATGTGTAAGTGGTAAGAAAAGAAAATTAA